GTGATTATATAATTATTTAGGTGCAGTAGATCCAAAGATTTTCATAGATAGATATCCAAATAGCAGTAGCAATAGCACTTAGACTCATCTACCGCTTCATAGTCCACTGCAAGCGATTTACAGAGTCAGCATATTTTCCCCAACAATCTGGTCCTCATTTTACCGACTTCAGAAGATTGGAAGGCTGAGACAACCTTGAGCCGGTGAGAATCGAACTGCTGAACTGCTGGCAGCCGGCAGTCAGCAGAACTAGCTTGCAGCACTNTGCTGATCTAGCAGTAGCCTGCAGTGCTGCATTTAACCACTGCGCCACCTTGGCTCTTATTCCAAAAATTATCTTAATTAAAGTACATATCTGATCCAGTGGTGGGATTCTTTTTTTTTTACTACCGGTTCTGTAGACATGGCTTTGTGGATGTGGCTTTGTGGGTGTGGCAGGGGAAGGATATACTATAAAATCCCCATTTCCTCCCCACTCCAGGGGAAGGTTACTGTAAAATCCCCATTCCCTCCCAATCAGCTGGGACTTGGGAGGCAGAGAATAGATGGGGGTGGGGCCAGTCTGAGGTTGTATTTACTGGTTCTCTTACCTATTCAAAATTTCCGCTACCAGTTCTCCAGAACTGGTCAGAACTTGCTGAATATCACCTCTGATCTGATCCCAATATTTCTTAGATTTCTCACATATACACCAAAGTTAATAAAAAGTACTTTCAGACTGATTAGATTTCCCACATATATTTGATACACTTTTGTGACAATTTATCACGTCTTAAATACCAATGATGCGTCATCATATAAAATTTCCCTTTCAAGTTATAATTCAATGTAAGTTTCAATCCTTCAGGTATTCTTCCATGGATCAAGCACTATATTGTATCTATTTTACCTGTTTAGTTATACAGTATTTAACATATTCATGATCTATATTTATTTTCAAAAATAGTTTATACATCTTACTGGTAGCATGCTCATCATTATAGATTCAATTCAAAATCAGTTTTGCCCTTGGTAAAATCAAAATTCTTCTTGTCCATTTTAAATCTTTGTAATAATTGAGTATAAGCAAACCCTTGACAAGTATGAACCAGGGGTGGATTGCTCCCAGTTTGGCCGAAGCGGTAGTGGAATTCAGGCCTGGGTCACAAAACCAGCGACCCAGGCTTGCCACGCCCCAAACCGGTTCCCTCGCTACCGCTGGGCCGCCACTATTTTGGTTTTTAGTGATTGCACGTGCGCAGTTCACTGTAAATTGTTCTGTGCATGTGCAAAGAACAATTTACATTGAACAATGCACGTCTGGTGCACGGGTGGGTTGGCGAACCCATAGTAAAACTGGCAGCAACCCACCCCTTGTATGAACCTCCATTTCCTATTCTTCTCTTGCTTTTAGTTTAGGTTCTCCTTCAGAAAAAGTCAGTAGGTCTCCAAGTTTGTGTAACTCTTATTTCCTTTCTTTAAAAAAAAGGTTTCTTGGGGTGACAATCAAGGAGGAATTGGGGAATCAATCTTGTTCTATACCTATTCCAAACCTTCAACGTGGCACATCTAACAATGTGATTTTAGAAATCCATATTAACCTTGTTTTACCATGGGCAGTCGTGCCACAGAAATCTCAAATCATGTCCTTCCAACTCCAATAACCTCCTACTCCTCAAAGTCACCCCCAAGCCTTTCGATCTTGATCAAGGCTGCCATTTTACTTCACTTTTCAGCCTTGATGATCCAGTTCAAATAATTGACAGCAACTATAGAAAGATATACAAAACCCTAGAGTATTGGTGAGAAAGGCCACATTACTCTCGTCTTCTTTTGCATTAAAGTTTTTTTTCTGAGTCACTTAGTGCCAAGTCTAATAATGATTTGCATCAGTGGGTAAGCATTATTCTATTTCAAGGCTAAGTCAAGAATCCTAAATAAAGCCATATGTCAGGAAAAATCTTGAACCTTTTTCTGTGCATTGAGAAGGGGGCATAACACCTTGAAAGAAACCTTACTCAAAATATGATTAAACGTTTTCTACTACATCAAGCAAAATATAAGCTTTGCTTTGATTTCACACACATCACAGTTTTGTGTTCTGACCCCCACCTTGTCCGTTCAAAAAACTAAAGCCAAACAAAGGAATGTTTTTATTCGTCCCGGCTCTTGCTGGTTGTGAGATGGTTGCACACAAACGGAGAGCTTGACTAGAACAGAAATGGAACGCAAAGTTGACTTCTGCAACCAGGGCGTGGCACCATCAGTCTTTTATCCGCAGGAGGAGATCCTAACNATTATTGGTGATAGTGGACTGAATTAGGAAAAGTAGACACAATTTCTAAATAATTAATAACCAGTGAATCCAATCCAAACCCTAGGAATTTTACTTTCTCTCTCTCTCTCTTTTTTTTTTTTTTTGTGCCTTTCCGCTTCCCCCAACATTGGCAATGATAAAGGAAATTGCTGTATTCTTCTGGTTTCCTTTCTCGGCTTATTCTCACCAACTCCAAAACTTTCTCTTCCATGTTGATGGAGAAAGTAGAGTAAAAGAAGTCATATACAATATATAAATGGCAAAAATAAGAGCAAGCATACTATCTAAAGTTGGGGAAACTGATGTATGTACACCCATAAGTTAGCATAGAGCTTGTGGAAAAAAAATTTTAAAAAGTGAAAATGGTTGTTTCTACCTACTTTGTTAAATGAAAATGACAACCTGTTATGTAAGGAGAAACTCTTCTGAGTGTAATGTATTTAAGAAATGTGTATGGTATAAAACATGAGATAAGGTCAAGAACAAATGGTGCTGAATTAATGTGGACTGACTGCAAATATGACTAAAACAAAACAAAACTGTAAGTGGTCGGCACAAACATAGAATAAATAAAGATCAAATTAAAAACAAATAAAAATGAGTAAAGGGTTAAAAGCAAGTCATTTGCTGTTGTACAGGAAAGCCTCAAAAAAGTGGGATATAAATGAATACATGAAGCAGTGTATAGATATAGTGACTGAAAGGATATCATGCAAGGGACAAAGTAAATGTTGTAGATTTCTATCCCTTTTTTCTGCTTTGCATAACATAGCTTATTCTGCATGATAAGCATATAAGTATGAATGAAAAAAGGTTAATGAATGAACAAAGAAAACACTGCCAAAATATCCAAACTCACTTAACATACAATACTTTTAGAATGGCTAAATGTTTCATAAACCATAGGTTACATGGACAGCACTCATCTAATCTTACACAACTGCACTGTCAGAATAGCAACTGCATGGGGATAACAGCTAAATTAGGGGATATAAACTCAATCTTGTTTTGTAACTAGCTTTACATAGAACAAAAGAATTTTGTATAAATAACAGTTACAGTTTAAGTCTCTACAGTGTGGTTTGCTGCTTTGGCTTTGTTACTTTTCAACTTCATAGAAGAATTAAAATAGTGATTTAATCAATATTATCAAAGAATGCCTTTGACAACTTTGGACTTTTTTCTAGTACTATTGTACCAGATATTTTTAGAACTATAGTTGTCATGTCCTATAAAATGTCCAAATGGCTTTGAATTATCTCTCTTTAATTAATATTTCATTCCCTAAAGTAAGTTCATTAAAAATCCAATCAGTGCAATTAACAACTTATTCATCACTTATCTTATTACAAAATGTAATTGCTTACTAGAGTCAATTGAATTTACTTCTATTCAAGGCTATTCTAGAAAAATGCATTATGCATGACTCACTTCAGCACAGTAGCGTTCTATTTGAGAAAATGTGTTTATCACAAAAGGTTACTGAGTTCTGGTTCTCTGTTAAATGATTTTAGTTTACAATTGTATGGAAAAGTTGAGATGCTTGTGAATTCTGACTCATTGATTGAAACAGAAGGGACAGAAACAGACACAATATTTATATGTTACAGAGTTAAACACAACATTCTTCAAATTTTAATGCATTCTATTTATGAACAGTTATTTATAGATTCAAGGTAAGAAAAGAGTATAAATATGTCAGGTGCAATGTTTGGGCTTTCTTTCAATCAGTACTTGGTGTTATCTCCTTTGACATAAATAATAGCTTCTATTATTATTATCAGATAAGAATATTTATATTCTTGCCTTTGTAATTATTTTCCCACTCTTCCTTGCAGAATCCTTCTAGTTTGGAAATAATCTTAGTTTATTTGCAATTGTCATTCTGCTGAAATATCCAGCTTCTTTATAACTTGAAATGAATATTTTTCTACAGAATTGGTATAATATACTACCTTAAAAATGAAAAAGTCTAGTAAAATGGATGAGTAAACGAATGATTAAATGATTGGCTTTTATCTCTTAAAACAACCTTAAATCAATTTTTACTTTTTAATGTGTTATTCTGGCAACTATTCCTTCATCAACTTCTCTTATATTCAATGTGATAATGCAACCTCTTTTAACCATTTATGAAAATCTAAGATGTTGTAATTGATAATACAGATATTTTTTTTTCTTTTCCTCTTCAGTACTGCATGTTTAAATTGTAAGCCTAATTGTAAGCTCATCTCTACTTATGTATAAAATAACTAGAATATAAAACCAGTATAATATGATTAAGTACTAACAAATCACCCGCTCAACAACACGTGCTTTTAGCGCTGATTGGAGGAAAACCAGAAAAGCAGCTTTCTGCTTTCCAATCAGCTGAAATTCCAGTGCTTTCAGTAAAGGATTAAAATGTTTTCTACAGCTGTGAGTCACCTCTGTTAAAAATTCTACCAATTTTGGAGTAAGTGGCAGAAAAGAGATTAATGACAGAAAGAGAAAGGAAGATAAGAATATAAGATTATCAATATTGTGTGAATAAATATGCAGAACACTATAGAGGTGAAGCATGAAAGAATCCTTTTAGAAAAAGTTTGTAGGTCTGAGCTTTGATGACATTCTATTAAAAATTATTATGAATTTTGATCAGGGACTAACATTATTTGTGCAGAAATAAAATGTAAAAAGCATTAGTATAATACCAAAATGTTACCTGTTAGGCATTAATGTACAGTCAATGTCTGGCCGTTTTGTTCTGGGAATGGCATACAGAGGATATCGGTCTCCATGGCGAATTAGTACATGAACAGATATCAGTTTAAAATAGTGAGGTCCATGACCTATAAGAAAAAGAGCAAGAATAGACTCATAATGGGGAACCCTTTTAGAATTCCAATTGCACTCCAAAAATTTATAATACATTTACACCTTTAGTTAAACATACAACATTCGCACTGAACAATTGTAACAGTTGAGATCGTTTTCCACAAAAGGTGACTAAAGGTGGATTATAAAACTCTTTATGTGAGAGACATATTGCAAACAAGAGAGATGAAGTGACTCAGTAGGTATTTAAGCTAGATCAAGAACTCTCCAAATAAACTCTTCTGAGTAGGTTTGACAGTATGATAGAGAAATAACTGCTGCACTCTTATACTCACTCACTGGATACAATTCGCTCTAAGTTCAGTCAGTAGGATTTGGAACCTTTTTAAACTTTTTTTAGCCATTTCATGAACATGAACTGGCATCCTTCTTTTGCTGCCAAGTTCCCATAATATTGCCTTCATCTTTTTCCCAACCTATTCCTCAGTTTTACTTAGCATTTTTCCTCCTATGGCAGCCAACAAGCTGCCATAGGAGGAAAGGGCCATTCAGTCCCGAATACAAGAAAGTTATTTCAAATGAGGTTCTCCGCCTAAAATGATCAGGTCTCCAAACTGATCCCAAATAGCAGTTGACAAGTATGTGTAGTGGGGAGATATAAGAATTTTATTTATATATGGGTTATAATATAAAATTAATGATCTGTATTAGATGATTATATATAGAATAGGAATTGCTCATGGTTTGGCATATTTATGCTTTAATTTTTTTCTGTTGCATTTATTTTCACTTATTTCTTTAAACATGTGTTATGGTTCTTGGTTTTTTTTGGATAATGTTTTAATTCTTGTGTTTTATTTCTTTTGCTTTTCTTATTATTATTTTAAAAGCAATAAAACTATTTTTTTTAAGTATTTGTGGTGGTGCTGTGTATGGTGAAGGAGGAGAGAGAGAACCTTTTTCTCTGTGGTTTCAAGCACAATGACTCCAGGATGCCTGTCAGCTTCATCAACTTTGATTATCATATAAAAAGCAGCTAATAAGGGTACTGGGTATTGAAATAGCATGCATTTCATGCAAGCCCTACTTATATTCTCTCTGTCAGCTGCGCTTCAGAGTGTCAATAATTTGGGCTGATGCAGGTCATTGCTCTGCATGAAAAGCTCCTTTTCCCTGCCATCTTCTTTCTTTTGCACCAGACAGCTGGTGCCCGGGAAAAGAGAGGGGGATGGGTGAAAGGAGGAGGGGGTGAATCTGACAAGCCAATGGACAGAGCTATTGATTGGTTGCCTGGTGATACTGAGAAGATCCTCTGGCTGTAAGACAGAACAGAGGTAATTGGTAGTGATGATGGGGCAGCAAAATGTATACCCATTTTACTTTTCGGCTGGACCAGACATTTTAACTGATTTAGTGGGGGGAAACCCTGCTTTGAACACAGGGAACAACAATGGAAAAGTTTTGGAGTAATCAAATAGGAAATCAAAGACCCTACTTCCCATGACTGCATAAAACATCTGTATGAGGTACAGATCTAATGGAAACTACTGCTGTACTACGTATAAATAATAGTGCTAATTGGGCTATTTTTAAAAAAATCCATTTTCTAATTCTTGCAGCTCAGATTCAGAAGCTGCATGCTTTTCTATAAAAACCATTCATTCTACTTAAAGCCTCTAAGGATTTTAAATGCAAAGCATGACTAGATCAGTCCTGTGGGGGAGGGACAAAATTATATTTGAGCAGCTGTTCCAGTTTAAGCTAGTAGGTAATGTCTTTACTTTTATGTTAAATGCTGCTTTCTGTTTGGAATTTGAGAGCATTCTATTAGCAAGGTTTCAGAACTGCAATAGAATTAAGCAAATAAATATGAAGAGCAATCAATAACAAAATTGCAGTTACCTTCCATACTGCGTTCAGAGATGCTGGGAACATTACAATAAAACTGGGCTTCATAAATAGGATCAATAGCAGGTGACTCTGTTAGTGGATTAGGCATTATTCTCTTTCGATTCTTGGAATGCAGACCATCATCTTTAATTGGCTTAACAGGAATCAAATGTACTAAAATATAAATAACCAACATCAATTGATAGTGATTAGTCTAATGCTAAATTATTTATTTGCATAATTCAAAATTCAAAATGCATAAATAAATATGGAATAAATATGGAAACAGGAAATAGACTTCCATAATTTTCTTATACTAGACTTCTGGTATAAAATCTATTTCTACATCACATTAATTAATGATTTCTTAGTAGGTGGTATGTAATATAATTATATAGTTTCCCCGAAAATACAACAGGGTCTTATATTTTTTTGACCCACGAAATATGGCCTTGGGCTTATTAAAGGAGAGGGCTTATTGTTTTTGGGTTGCCGGGTGGCTGTTCCCTTTTGACCGGAGTCTCAAAGAGCCAGGCACAGCCTCAGGGTCGGATGGCTGTGTTGCACTGTCACAGCAGCAACACAGCAGCCATGAGGTGGCCATGTTCATGAGCAGCCGCCCGGCAAGCCCCCTTTCCAGCCGGGCACAGTGCCGCTGACCGATCTAGCGGTACCTGGAAGGCACCAAGCAATGCGAGCGCGGCTCGACGCCTTCGGAATGCTCCTAGGTAAGTGAATGGGGCTCTGCATGGCTGGAGAGGCTTTTCCGCTCCCCACTCGCACGACTCGCAGGCTCATGATGCCCTTGACTAACTCTACAGTACCTGCAGAGCCGGGGCATCTTCGCTGCTTGGGGGTTGGTTTTTGTTTTTTTTTTTGCTTTCAAAGCATGGAGGATGGATGCCGCTTTGGAAGTATGCTCTATGGTAGCGTACAACCATAGAGCGTACTCCCAGAGCGGTATCCTACCTCCGTGCTTTGGAAGCCGCCACGGAGGATGGATGCCGCTCTGGGAGTATGCTCTATGGTTGTACGCTCTGCAGCCCACAACCATGCAGCCCACAACTCTCTCCAGCCATGCAGAGCCCCATTCACTCTAGGGGCATTCCGAAGGTGCCCAGCTGCAGAGGCGGAGAGCGGCAAAAAGGCACTCACGTTGCTTGGTGCCTTCTGGGTACCACTAGATCGGTCAGCGGCGCTGTGCCCGGCTGGAAAGGGGGGTTGCTGGGCGGCTGCTTGCGAGCATGGCCCCCTCATGGCTGCTGTGTTGCTGCTGCGACATTGCAACACAGCCATTCGACCCTGAAGCTGGGCCCAGGTCTTCGGGAGCCCGGTCGCAAGGGAGCAGCCGCCCGGCAACCCCCACTTCAGCTGGGTACAGCGCTGCTGACCAACCTAGCGATACTCCGAAAACACCAAGCACCGCGAGCGCCTTTGCCCCCACCTCATTCCCACGGCTTGGCACCTTCAGGATATCACTAGGTCGGCGAGCGGTGCTCTGCCTGGCTGGAGGGGGGGATTGTATAGGGGGCTTATTTTCAGGGGTGGACTTATATTTTTGCCCACGAAAAAAATGTGGCAAGGCTTTAGTTTCAGGACAGGTTGTATTTTCAGGGATACATGGTATAATTTTGCTNTCTTTAGAAGGCCAGATCCTGAAGATGAGACTCAAATACTTTGCCACCTAATGAGAAGGAAGGACTCACTGGAGAAGAGCCTAATGCTGGGAAAGATGGAGGGCAAAAGAAGAAGAGGACGACAGAGAATGGGGTGGCTGGATGGAGTCACCGAAGCAGTAGGTGCGAGCTTAAATGGACTCCAGAGGATGGTAAAGGACAGAAAGGCCTGGAGGAATGTTGTCCAGCGGGGCACAATGGGTCAGACACAACTTCGCAACTAACAACAACAAAAACAAAAACATTGCTATATGGGGGGGAGTAGCTATTTCTGCTATGTTCTGGTTTATAGAGTCTTTGTGGGGCTGCCTGTCAAACTCTTACCAGTCTCAGAGTGTCTAGGAACCTGTTTGTTACAGGCCATTTCACCTTAATTAATTACAGGGAGTGCAATCTGGATTCTGATTCCTTTTGAAAGAGTTAAGCATTACAAGCCCATTACAAAGCCTCTAGTAATTACTGTGTCAGGAAGGGTTACGGTAAGGGGGAAACTGCAGGCTGACACAGTAGGTAAATCAGAGTAGTGTATAAGAAGCAATTAAAATGACAAGAGTTTCCTAAAGTCAACACAATTATTTGGTTGCTCTTAATTTTATCAAATCAAATACATTTTAAAAAAAAGAGAAGATAAAGAAATCTCTCTCCTTTTGAAGAGGGCCAAAAAAGGACAAATAATGGAGAATGATTATAAAGGACAAAAGTCAATTTCTGGAAGAAAAAAGTAAGTGAATCATACCATGCCACATGCAGATCACAAGGATGTGAATTTTGGATACAGCCACATTTCGTACTATTTAAAGCTCTTTAGTTTTGATTAAGAATACAGTCACTGATTGCACCCAAAAACAACCGATGGGCATGTGGCTGGTCACTCTACTAGTAAAATGACTGTGTGCCCTGTATAGGAAATCCTCTATCTAAGGCAATGATGGCAAACCTTTTAGCCACCAAGTGCCCAAACTGTGTGTGAGCGTGTCCAAACTGAAAGGTGCACGCAAATGTGCACATGTGCACGCATGCACAGACATGTGTGCATGTGTAGCAGAGACCCAAAGACTGGCTGGCCAACGGGAGGTGGGGCATCCCAACACTAGCAGCACAGTAAGAGTACGTTTTTTTTCGGGAGTTTCTGTTTTGTCTTTTGCAGGGAAACAGCAGCTCATGAAAGAAACACCATGGAGATCTGACCTGGGGCGATGACACGCATGCCAGCAGAGAGGGTTCTTTGTGCCACCTTTCACACGTGTGGCATAGGTTCACCATCACACATCTAAGGGCTTCAGAAGGCAAGCCTCTCTTGCAAGACATCCCCAGGTTTTTTAAGGTTCAAGTATCCAAAATTCCATACAGCGAACATTCAAAAGTAGCAGCTGGAAGCCTGCAAAATATCCGCCCAGATCTCTTACTATAATAAGCCTTTTCCCAATTATATTAATGGTAATTTTCATATTTGTATAAATTAGCATATGGAAGCTCCATGCAGGTCTGCAACTTTTATAGGACAATGCATTTTTTACTTTTTTTTTACTGTATAAATGGTTACCCTATTAAACCTTATGAGATTCTAATTTTGATAAAGCGAAGTGAAGTACAGAAGTAGGCAGCTGGACTGGTTTGTGTTTTTTTTTTCCTGGAAGCAGATTAACAAACCCTTCTGTTTTTTCATCCATCTGCAGATGGTATAGATTTGACCATCACACATCTGTTCATGTTTTACAGGACGAGGAATGGGGATAACTAAAAAGAAAGAGAGAGAAGGTAAGACCAGAAGAATAAGAAACAGGAAGATATAATACTCAGATGTGTGCCTCACACGCTATTAAATTCTGGATCAATCCAAAGTGAAGCCAATATAATGGCAGGCTAAAATAGTGAGCCTGAGATTTTCATACCATTTTTCCCTCTTACAATGTCTCTTCCTTAAAAAGACGTTTCACCATGAATAGATCTGTTTCAGTGGCTGTGTTTGTCTGACATGCTATGCCATGGTTGGTTTGATCATAGTTTATTGCAGAGAGCGTACAAGGCATTACACGAAAACTAATTTCCTTTATCGCCTAACCCCAGAACCAAAGCTATATCTCTTAACTCACTATTCTGCAATCTTAGTTCTGCAATCTTAGTTTTACAAATTTATCCAAAAGGAAAATTATTCTGAATTTAAGAACTCTCTCACCCCCTAGAAAGATTGGACAGAAAAAATAATAATAAACACAAATAATAGTGGGCAACTTTTATGTTGGCTTTCTACAGTCTGACACAAAATGGACTTTGGCTGCTAACCATGGTTATTTTGTTTAAAAGCAGTTTTCAGAGGTTTTATACAGGATGTTGGGATATTATTTTTTAACTTGTTTTTTATTGGATTATTTTGAACTGTTGTGAGTAGGGTAATGCAAATCAAATCAAATAAACCAACAAATAAAATAAAATCCTGTATGTTATCCAGGTATCTTACCTTTTACTATTCTCCTGGAACAATTCCTAGAAATCCCCCCTGCCCACTAACCAAATGGAACCCTGTTACTCACATGTTATATATGGCCAGAAACCAGACTCCAGGAAAGGATTGGGGGGGGGGGATTTCTAAGACTTGTTTAATAACAAAAAAATATTATTAATTGTATTAATTACTTGATGAAATTACAAGTCTGTAAAATAAGGTAATTTATTGCAATGAATTGTGTTCTATCTGAAGATCCATCCACTGTCTCAAGCATAGAAATTATGGAAATCAAGACTCAGCAAACATAAACGTAAGCACGCTTATTCTATCCCACTGAGTTTCCTATCACTTTGAGAACCACTGACTTAATTCATGTGGAATATTCTCTATTCTTTACTTAGAGTGTGTAATTGCACTTTAGCTTTCCAAATTATACTGGAAATACAGGCAGCAAAAAGCATTTTTTCCAGTTAAAAAAGAAAGATCAGATTAAAAAACTCCACATCCTATCTTTGAAAGCAAAGCCAGATTTCAAGGTTCTTCTATCTAGAAAATATACTTCAGTTATCATCAACCCAAAGTCCAAACTAAGGAACTAAGGGAAGGAAGGTCACCACTTAACAACCAACAAACCAAGGCAATGCTATCAGGATCCAGGAAAATTGATCAAGGAAAATGGCACCTCTAGGATAACATCAGAGGTAGTATTCTACCGGTTCGAACCGGATCACCCAAAATCGTGGGTGGCTCCGCCGATCCATGCCCTGCTCTATGGTATCCTATTTAGGTCCTTTTTTCACCCAAAGCGCATGCGCGGAAAGATCTGCGCATGTGCAGAGGTGGCACGTGCGCTCACATTTGCGAACCGGTATGGAAGGTAAGTGTATACCACCTCTGGATAACGTGGGCAGAAACTTGCATTTACCAGTACATATGCTATAGGCAATTTTATAGACACACACAAAATATTTCACATCTACCTGCTAATACATCTAGTATATAAAGTGTAAAATTTAGAAGACTTTACTGGTGTACTTTGCCAGTCTTTTGCTCCCCTAAATGAGCTGTTTTGTAAACTGAGAAAAGGAGTCTGTGTTATTGCTTAAGAACTTGGAACCGTCCTTCGGGGGTAGTCTGCAAAAAGCACAGTATTTCCAATTTTTTCTATGGCAGGTTTCTGAGAACTACTGCAAGCAGACTTGATCCATAATGTAAACAGTGTGCAGTGAAGTAAACCTACAGCCAGAGAAAAGTGCATATTTTTTTTTTTGCTGTTGTTATACATGGGTTATGTTGAAGTAAATTCATTTGGTTACTGATGTAGCATCTTGTTGGGCTAGTGTGGCTGTTCTTTTGCTAAAAGATGCTTTGTATTCATATCCTTGTTTTTGTAATATTAATATTTAGACAAAATTTTCATTCATTTTTTTACATTTTCCTTTGAGCAATTTTTCAACATGGACTGTCATGCCTACACAAATATGAAGTGATTTATTTCGAGTCCCTATTGTTCTTATAACAGGACACTTGAAACACACGAGGTGATTGTTCCATCTCAATGAGAAGCACTCAAGTCATTCAGAGTTTTGTTTTGTTCAAACACAGCCAACTTGAAAGATCGCAGTGTTGTGAGTAGGGTTAATATGCCCCAAATTCAAAACCAAACACCTTTTCTATTTCAGAAATGTGCTGTTCCATCCCAAGGAGCAGACCCTACTTTTTTCTGTTGGAAAATAACTGGGTAAATTGGAAGTGCAATATTCTATTCGCTGCTTCAGCAACGAGGTATTCTTGCTTTGCAAAGTGTTTGGAAACTGGAGGTGAGGTTGGGAAGACAGATTGCACTCCTCCTGTTGGTTCACAGGGTGACATGTGTCCTTAAAGATCAAGTACAGACGCTGCTTTTTCCTGGGGGGAAAAAGAATTGCAAGAGAGTGTGAAAGAGAGAACAAGATTTCTATGAATTCTCATATAGGTCCAAATGGTAAATGACTTGTTTTTGAAGATTATTTATTTATTAGTGTGAGATGCAGTCCCAGCAGTCTATTTATCGTTGTTCTTGCTGGAGGTGCTCCATTCCTTACAATTTCATCAGAGTGACACAAATGGCTAAAACTATTTGGAATTGTCAAGTTGATCATGTATGATGTTGTGCTCGCTGACAAGGATACATGGAATTTCCTTGAGCTAAGAGACAGATCAACATCTATTCAATCTACTGGGATATCCATAAGGTTTCTGCTTTCTCAGAGACAGATGCTGCTGGTTTTTATGGAGAAGATGACTCTTAAAGGAAAACCACAGGGCAAATTTGGTATTTACTAATGTCTTTTCTTTTCTTGGGTCTTCTGAATTCCACAGCAGCTCCTCAAACCATGTCTTACGTTTCAATTCATGTGAAGGTGTCCTGGTCCTTTCCATGTCCCATATACCAAGTCGTACAGAATTATTTTCTACAGGTGGATATAGAAAAGTAGGTCTAAGCCACCATAATGAAGTTGTGGTGGAATGTGTGCAACATTGCAGCATTTTACTTCGGAATAATGTTTAAGAGAGCCAGAGTGATAGATCATGTCTGCCTCAAGTCCGCTAGGACTTGTTTTCTGCTGAGTGCTGCTGGCATCTGTGGAAGAATCAGCGTCTGTTGTGCTGAAGATGAAAGAAGGGGGCAAGGGAAAAGAAAGCCAACGAAGCCTCCTGGGATCCTACCAGCCAAAATCAAAACTCCAAACTGTCTTGCATGTGCAGATTCAACTGACATCTGGCTACCTGGATTGCTAGCATCATGTTCTTTGCAGAAGGATAAAATAGGGACAAAAATCAGCTTCCATCAGGGGAGAACTAAGCTTGTGAGCTTCATAAAGTCTGTCTTCAACTTTTCACATTCTGCTGGCCAAGGTCTTTGGAGCTTAAGGATGTGCATCGCCTCACCAAGGGCCATGTGAACCCTGCATTGCAGAAGAGCTACATCTGCTACCATTACAGTGAGTTGAAGATAAAATCATCTCCTAAATCAAGTGACTATAAAATAGACAGGCATAGATGGTACCACATTTTGGGGTTTGCACTAGTCTTTGAAAACCGACTGCACACAGGTTTAGAAGGCCAAGGGTCATCCATCCGATGTTTATCTAAAGGAAGCCAAGATGGAGACCATGTAGAGGCCAACCACACACCATTTGGCTTGAAATACTGGCTGCAGTATTGCAATTAAAGGGGTAATTTTTTTTCCAGAGCTACTTCTGTCATTTCCACTTAATGTTAAAGTTCTGGCCCAATATTAGAGATGTGCAAACTATTCCATATATAACCCGATGGTTCTGAGTGGTTGTGCATTAATTAAAACATGTTACTTTTCTAATGTTTTGGTTCATATATACATGGGATGAAAAGGTGCAGTTTTATTTCTGATAATGACTGAAAAATGCAGGTTCTGGGTAGACGTAGCTCCAGTGAGGAGATAAACTAGGTCTAAGGCAGAAGTAGTTGTGAAGGTGACGGAGGGAAGGGAAGGCTTTGGGGAAATTGGGGGTGGACAGGCTAGAGTCATGCACTGGGAACTGCTGAAGGGAGAGGTGGGGCAATACATACCAGCATTGCCCTGGTGCCCCAGTATATCCCCTGCAGCTTTTGTTTCAAGGAAAATCCAGAACAACCAAAATATTTTGGTAAACCAGGGTCAACTCAAAATCATTTTTCAGATTTTTCATTTTCTAGAATGTAGTCAGGTTTTATGAAACATTTTCTGTATGATTCACAGAGCTATCCAAATGTGTCACAGTAGACACAAGTCTGGAGCGCTCCAATCTGGAGCACTCCAGACTCCAAAGTCTGGAGCACTCCAAATGGTGTTAGGTTTTCTTGGGTTTCTGGTGAATTCAATTTGTCAATTTTAATAGATTTGTATGCCGCCCAATCCCGGAGGACTCCGGGCAGCTTACATAAAAGACAGTTTAAAAAAGAAGATATTAAAAATTTAAAATATAAGACAGAACAAATTAAAACAGGACACAACATGCACTCAATCTTAGTGGGGCTGAAGGTCAATCAAGATCAGCAGCCCCAGGCCTGC